CCTCAGGAGGCCCACCTGTAGGACTATCAACAGGCTCCCTAGTGCTTAACTTTGGGTAGGATTTGCCCAGTGGGGAAACCTGGCAGAGATTGGAGGGAAGGAGGAAGAAAGGAAAGTAAGGCCCCTTTATACACCCAGTTCTTCATAGTATGGTTACTGTGAGCTGACTAAACCTAATGCCTCACAACTCCCATCAGTGGCCCCTTCCTCATAGCTTCCACTTATATCACTCCCTCCCAGCACCCCTCAGCCTGGGGTGTTGGTAGCGTTTGGTATCACTACACCATGATCATACCTCTGGATAATGCCACCTTTAAACCCTTTAAGTGCCCAGCCTGGATGTTGCATGTGTTTCCTGCAGATAACCCTGCTCTTACAAAGTGCTGGCCATTTGTCCGTAACCATGTTCTCGCTGATGGATGACTGAGCTTGTGTTATCTCTGTGTTTGTTCCCTCATGCCCATACTGATCTGTGGTCAGCTGAGGACAACAACTAGCTCAGTTTCATGACGTGATCCCCTGCTCTCGGTGCAGGGTAATTTTCAATTAAGGGTATTGATTAGGATATCAAACAAATGAAGGACCAGATCTGAATTCTTTGTGCATATGAATGTTTGCAAGCATGCAAGTGTTTGTTTTCAGGGGACCTGGGGCAGCATTAAGTCTCAGCAAAATAAAGAGAACTTTAGACTGGGGAAAAACAGATGTTCAACATAAGAATGAATCCTCAGTTCCATGAACTAAGAATCTGAAGGTTCCATTATATTCTCAAGGCAGCTAGAGAGCAAAGATCCAGGCACAGGAGAACACCCCTGCAGCATCTGTGCCAAGGTAAATGCCCACCTCCCTCCTCCAGCTCTCCCCAACCCACCTATTCACTTCCCATAGTCCATGGGTGACTTATGTAACCCATCCATCTGCCTCCAACCTTCCCTCCCACCCAAAACAAGACTAACCAATTGGTCCCTGGGCCCAGGCCCACAAGTGTGCATGGAGTGCTGATACAGGATCTGTGTCTGCCCTCAGGGGAGTATCTGGTAGGAAAGCAGGGAAAGAAGATATTCAGTGGGCACAGCGGTGCCAAAGATTTGGCAGTGGGAAATGGGTGATTTCAGTTGACATATGAGAAGAATCAGCTCAGCCTGGGACTACGTGGCCCAAGAAGGAGAAGTGGGAATCTCTGATTTGAGCACTCTTCCCGGTCAGTCTTCAGTTCTGGGTAGAGGGCCACTCATGAGCCCCAGGATATAAAGCACCCATACATTCATGCACTCATTCATTCATTCATTCGGCAACAGGGTATTTGCACCAGGCACTATGCCAGTAACCGCGGTATGACTGGGCAGACCTGCTCCCTGAACTCTGAGACAAGTGAAACACAAATGACTCTAGGAAGCCAGGACACCACTCAGCTCTCTTCTTGATGCTCCAGAGAAACTGGGCTTGTTCCCATTCTACAGTCAAGGAAGCTTGTAGTCAAGGAAGTTACAATCAAGGCTGCCTCCTTAGCAGACCAAAGAGCGAAGGAGAGCCAGCAGCTCAGCCGTTTACCCAAAGGGAAGCTAGCAGAACGATAACCACTTTCCGGAAAGGCGGGCGTGTTTCTGTACTCTGGGGGTGGGGGTCCCCTTTCCCCGCCCCTTCCCCGCCCCGTGGCCGCGGCGTGGCGGGGCCGGGAGGGCCGGGAGGGCCGGGGCGGAGCTGGCATCCACTCCGGGCCGGAAAGTCGATCGCGGCCCCCGCAGGGCAGGCAGGCCAACCCGCTGACGGGCGACTGAACCTGCAGATCCTGAGCGCTCGCGGCCGGCGGCCGGCGCGCGGGTATAGCGACCCAGCGGACAGGCGAGGACGCGCGCGGACACGCCGAGGCGGGCCGGGTGAGTGGGCGCGCACGGTTCAGCTGCCAGGGTCCAGATTATTTCTTCGGCTGTTCCGGCGTGGCACACGCGGAGGCGACCTCAGCGCGTAGGGAGGCTGGCCACCGTCCCGGGTCGGAGATCGGGGCTCCCCGCCGCGAGCTCAGTTGGGGGTGGCGGTGGCAGCGGGGGCGTGTCCTCGGGAGCGGAAACGTCAAGTCTGCTCCTCTGGGTCCTACAGCCAGACCCGCCTGATGGCGGTCGTGGGGGAGCGGGGATGAAGGAAGGGTCGGCCGGTGGCGAGGAGTCCCGCGGGTGGAGAGTGCGGCAGGCAGGAGCAGTCTCCGCCTTCGCTTTTCCTCGGATCTTTGCCCTCGGTGTCTCCCCATCGCACGGCGCTAGACTGGATTCTGGGTTCAAACGGGGGCCAGCCCCTACAGAAATTTGGAGCCAGGCCCCTGGAGCGGCAGGTGTGACCCTGTCCGGGGGTAAATGTCAGAAACTGGCTGGGTCACTCTAGGTCTTCATTTTGGGAAATCCAGATGTCCACTGCGAGTGACTGCCCACTTTAGGAATAAAAGGACCCCCCAAAGTTAGGAAACAAGGGCTAAGAGTGGGAATGACCTTACTTCAGGGAAGGGGATAGAAGTTCTTTGAGACACAGCAACTCAGTCAGGGCTTAAGAATGGGAAGAGAAGTTCCAGAGACAAGTCGTTTTAGATATACCCACCCCCACCCCCACCCACCTGCGCTTACATTTTCCTGGGGAAATACTCAGCCCTGAAATTCTGCTCTAGGAAGGTGGAAGTCACTAGTCAGTCAGTACACCCCACTAGCTGTGGGGGTGTGGGGGAGGCTCATGGTGTGATGCTCTCAGCCTCCTACCACTTCCTCACACCAGAGGCCAGCCAGGGCAGAAAAATGATCCTTTACTTGTAATGCAGAGCCCTATCTTATCCCAGTTCCCAGTTCTGCCATTGGAGATCCCCCCCCCCCTTACCCCAGTTTTGTTATGTGAATGCAGCTCAAGTCCTCTTTCTGTGCTTCACTTTCCCACGTGTACAAGAAGGGGGTTGGGCCAGGGCTACCTCAACTCTAAGGTTCTTCCGTCTAAGTGTTCCTTAAAGCCTCAGTGTGAGCTAGGTGCCAGGCCCTAATGCTGCAGGGAACAGCCTCCTTGCAGAGAGATAGAGACCCGGGTTCAGTAGAAGGGGCTATGAGAAGGGATAGCATTCATCCTGGCCATGTGCACTCGGGCAGAGAGACCAGGGTAAAAAAAAAAAAGAGAGAGAGAGAGAGAAAAAAACCAAAGATGCAGGAAAGTGGAGGACATATTCAGGAATCAGGAGGAAGTCCAGGGTGTTGGTGCAGGGAAAGGGGAAGAAAGGTAGGATGAGGTATTGAGTACCAGGGTGAGGGAAAGTGGATAACCCAGGAACCTAATTGTGGTGTGAGTGATTCTGGAAGCACTTGCCCCAGAGTTTAGAATGGAGGTAGCAAGAGGAGCAAGGAAATATGTTCCTCTTGGGTCAGGAGGCTCAGGTTCCACCCTGAGGATAGGTAGGGGGTGGGTAAGGTGACCCACCACATCTCTGAGGGGTTTTCCAGAGACAAGATCCTTTGGGGAGAACTGCCCCTACTCTCCAACTACTCCCATTTTACTTGACAGCCACCATCTTGGCCTCTCCTGTTGCAAGTACAAGAATCCTTGTTCCAAACTTCTCCACTAACTTGCCTTGTTGCCTGATGTTACTCCTCTCCCCCAACCCCTATGTGCTGTGCATTTAGTTATCCCCAGTTGTTGCCTGTTCCCATTCACTTCCTCAATCCTAGAGGTGTGAGGAGGGAAATGCCCAACAGTACTAGAGGTGTGAGGAGGGAAATGCCCAGCGTCAGCCCTGCGGTCGAAGCCAAGCTTTGTGGCTATATTCAAGCCTCAGTCTAGAGCTAGGTTTCAGGACTCAAACTGAGGAGGGTCAGAGCCAGGTCAGAGTTCAATCTGGAGCCAGAACTCCAGAGCTTGGGGTACACTTAGCCTTAGCATCAGTCTGGGGTCACAGCAATGCTGAGTTTACAGCTACACTCCAGTCTCACAAGTACCTACAGCTGCATTTCTCACAAGCTCACACACTCCCAGGGGGAGATGAGATGACTACCCAGAGAGTTCCAGAAACCTGACCTATATGGGAATGACCCAAGAAATTGCATGGGCCAAATCCATTCCCTCTATAGGGATCAGCTGGGACTAGAACAGGACACCTGCCTCCCAGCCTGGGCTCTGCTCCAACGTCTGTTCTGTGCCTGAGAGCCTTCCATTCTAAGGGGCAAAGCAAATTCATCTAGAATCCAGATGGTCTCTGCTGAACGATCAAGTGCCTACCTTCTACTGCCAGGCACTACCTTCTACTGTCAGGCACACAGTAGGCGCTCCAGGAATATATAGGTCAGGTGCAGGGGGTGGAACCCATGGTTTGTTGGCTTCAGGCTGGAGGAGGCTGGCTGGGAGGAAGGCTCAGCAGCTACCATTGGAGGAAGTGGTACCACCCTCCCCCTTTCCTCCTGCTCCTGCAGCCACAGAGACCGCCCCACTGACTGAATGAGGGCCTTTCCTCTTTCAGGGTAATGAAAGGAAAGGACATTTTTGGTAGAAAAGCCCCTAATGATCCTTGGGAATCCCCGGTGGCCGGATAGACTACGGGATATCCCAGCGGAAACTGAAGGCGGGACCCTCCCCTTAGGCCTTGTACAATGCGGTCAGGTTCTCCCACACTGTACCAGCTGGCCTGTGGGGGCTCAGAGGTCACTTCACTCCATCCTTGCCTCCCGGCAGGCCTGTGGGAGGCCTCTCATGGTCAACAGCAAGTTGATGAGCAGCTGTTTGGAACCCAATCCCAGCCTCTGTAAGATGCAACGAAAGTATAAAGAAATAAAGTGGGAGGGCTGTGGGTGCTTGGTGGGGGACTCTAGAGGTCACCTGGAATAAGGCTGAAATGCTGCAGTGAGGGGTGGGAGGACTTGTCTGCACAGAGGCAAGCCAAACACTGAGAGGGAAGTGTGGTGGGAAGCCGTTTGGTAAGAACCCACCAATTCACTCCTTGTGCTCTTGGCCCTGACAGGGCAGCCACAGGTCCTGCCCCTGGACACCTGGCCCCCAGCCCAAGCTGGCCATGGCCCTGTGCCTGAAGCAGGTGTTCGCCAAGGACAAGACGTTCCGGCCACGGAAGCGCTTCGAGCCAGGCACACAGCGCTTTGAGCTGTATAAGAAGGCACAGGCATCGCTCAAGTCGGGCCTGGACCTGCGCAGTGTGGTGAGGCTGCCGCCCGGGGAGAGCATCGACGACTGGATCGCCGTGCACGTGGTGGACTTCTTCAACCGCATTAACCTCATCTATGGCACCATGGCTGAGCGCTGCAGCGAGACCAGCTGTCCGGTCATGGCCGGAGGGCCCCGCTATGAATACCGCTGGCAGGACGAGCGCCAGTATCGGCGGCCAGCCAAGCTCTCCGCGCCACGCTACATGGCCTTGCTCATGGACTGGATTGAGGGCCTTATCAATGACGAGGATGTCTTTCCCACCCGTGTTGGTGAGTGCCTGCAGGCGGGCAGGTAGGGAGGAGTTTAGTGTGGTGGGACAGTTCTATAATAGGGGAAGCGGTGTAATCTTCACCCCCCATTTTATAGAAGCTGAAACTGAGGCTCAACCAGGTGGCCTGCTGAAGGGCTGGCATCTTGAGATAGGACTACCTGACACTCAGTTTGGGGCATTCATCTGTAATTTTGCTGTTTCCCCCCACCCACCCCCAACACCACCTATATTATGATTTTCAGGCTCTTCCAGAACAGGTGCCTCAGGTCTGCTTGGACTGTTTGAATTGCAGCCTCCTGGGCCGTCCCTCTTAAGTACTGCCCCCAGGAAAAGGAAGGGGGTGGGGACTGGGTAGGCCAGTGGTATTTCACTTCTGGGGCCTTAAAGGGCAGAATTTTCCCTTGCGTGGCCGGTCTTTGCTTATCTGAGTTGTGCAGCCCGGCTGGCCGGGTAAAGGTGGGGAGGAGAGATGAGTGATGGCCTGGCTACCCCATCGGAGGACAGCAATAGGGGCTGGCCCAGGAGCTGTGTAGGCATGACACCATGCTCATCACAGCTGCCCAGCCCCACCTGGCCTCCTGTTCTTCCCTGTTAAAGCTCTGAGACAAGGGTGGAGCAGAGTGGTCAAGCCCAGAGGGAAGAAGTCTGCCTGCTGAGGAAAGCCAGGCTGGCATTGAGTCACAATTCAGTGCCTGCAGCCCCTCCCCAGCCATTTCCTGTACTATCATGCCCAACAATGAGTATCTTCATTTCACATGGGAGGAAACTGAGGCCAAGAGAGGGACAGCACACTGAATCAGAAGGGATTCAAAGTGGAACTCAGATCCCAGATTTGATGGGCAGGGTGAGTCAGAGGGATCTGGGCTGAGCTCTGAAGAGCCCACAGGGAGGCACAGCTCAGTCAGAAAGGGGACCGGCTCTAGGGCAGGCTGGGCCTGGGTGGGCTGCATCTGGGCCCTTTTCTCACGGGGTCTTAACCCCCCGGCCTGTGAGACCTCAGATTTCTGTGAGACTTAACCCTGAATACCTGTGCCACAGCCAGAAAGAGAGCATAGTCACCAAGCTTGCCAACTTAAGGAGTGGGGAAACTACCAAAACCGTAGCTTTTTCTCAGATCTTGGCGCTTCTCTCAAGCAGGGCTTGTATCATTTATCTCTGAGGGGTGCTAAGTAGGCTTCACTCTGGTGTCTAATTAGTAGTTCTGTGGCCTTGGGCAAGTGGCTTTATCTTGGTGCACTGCTGTTCCATCATCACTAGAAGGTTTTCTTATCCAGCAGTGGCTTGGTCGTGAGGATTAGAGGCCATGCTTGCAGAGGGCGCGGGGCACGACCTGGCTCATAAGTAGAAGGTTCTTTGTAAGTATAACTGAATATTTGGAGAAATGAGACATGTCTGACGTAATTCTGGAAAATATACTAATGTTTAAGGGTGGAGGTGCAACATCTGTGTGAACATGGAAAAGAGGAAGTTCTGGGGCACATCTGGTGAGGGAGGTCAGGCTCAAATCACAAAGGCCTTGATTAGGCATCATTTCAGGAAATTAGGGCTTCCTCTTGACGGCTCATAGTTTTTAAAATGGGCCTCAGATGTTGATGAACTCCACCTGGGATTTGTACCCAGTGGTGCCACATGTGTGCACCTGCAGATGCCATGTATCTCCAGGGGTTCAGGCACAGCTTTCATCACCATCAGTCACCCCAACAAGGTTACAAAGTCCTGCTTTGGTTGATGGGGAAATGTGGGAAATGACTTGTATTTCAGCAGGGGAGAGACCCAGTTAGATGTGCACTTCCTTAAAAAGGCGAATGTGAGAGAAAGCAAACCATGAGGTCTCGGTCTCGTGTCTCCCACAGGGTAGTACGTTAGGGAGGAGGCCATTCTGGGTAGATGCTGCCTGGCAGGGGGGGAGGCAGAATGGGCAAAGCTTCATCACTAGGATGCTGACCCCCCACTTCTGCCTATCCCCTCTCCAGGAGTCCCCTTCCCTAAGAACTTCCAGCAGGTCTGCACCAAGATCCTGACCCGCCTCTTCCGAGTGTTTGTCCACGTTTACATCCACCACTTCGACAGCATCCTCAGCATGGGCGCCGAAGCACATGTCAACACCTGCTATAAGCACTTCTACTACTTCATCCGCGAGTTCAGCCTGGTGGACCAGCGGGAGCTGGAGCCCCTGGTGAGGCCTAGCCCACACTCCCCTCCCCCAGCAGGGCTGACCTCTGTGAGTTTCAGATCCAAGGCTACCTGCTTGAAGAAAATCCAGTAATAGTCAAATGATAAATTAATTGATAGCAATTCATTTAACATGGATTCAGTACTTAATAGAGAATTCGCTCACGTGTCAGTTTACAAACTCAGATTTGCAACCTGGAGCTGGAGTTGGGGGCAGTTAGGAGTCTGGTTCAGGCAGAAGAGCAGCCAGACTATGGTTTGGAAGTGGGTGCCTGCAGTTGAGCTCTAACTGACACCTTCCCACCTTGTATCTCTGCAGAGGGAGATGACAGAGCGGATTTGTCACTGACATGGACCAGGCATGGACCTTGTTGCTCGTCAGATGGACCATCTGAACACAGAGTGGCTAGGGCTGGGCACCTTCAGAAACCTGGTGGCAGATAACACTGACAACCTGGGACCCCTCCACATACTCAAAGCCCCTGGACTTCTGGTTCTATGGAGTGAGCCCACATGTCCCCCAACTACTTGTGAATGAAAAGGGGAGAACATTAAGGTGGACACGCAGAAAGGAAGGAGTCAACCTCTGACATGAAGTCTGGGGGCAGGGTTGGCTAGGGAGTTTTGGCTTTGATATTTGACCCTTACATAGGTGCGGCTGAGGTAATGGTGAGACAGGAACAAGTGAGTGAGCAGTCTGTGTGTGTGCATGTGTGTGAGTGTGAGAGAGAGATTTTTGACTGTGGGGTGTGTTAGCTGTGAAAGTCAGATGCCTTAGGCCCTCCCTGGCATAAGTGGGTGGATGGAAGGAGAGAGACTGGACCCATCAGACTGTGGCCACTGTGGGAGTAATGACAGGTCAGTGTCCCTGCCTGGGGTGTGTGACCATGTGTGTAAGTGCACAAGATGTCCTTGTAGATATAGCTCTATGTTTGAACCTTCCAGGCTTTCATCTCCTGTCAGCATGAGTTCTGGGTTGCTGTGAGGTAGCAAAAGGGGAGCCTTGCCATGAGTAATTAAACCTCTGGCCCAGCAGACACAAGTTCTGATTTGCTCGGCCAGTTCTGATTTGCTCGGCCAGAGATGGGTATGAGCTGTCATTTCACTCCTCCTTCTGCCTCCAGGAAGGCCTGATTATGGAGAGCCTCCTAGGGCTTGGGATTGTCCCTCATTTCCTGGCCCTTCAATTGGGAAGCATGTGCTCCTTTCTAACTCTCAGAATCTATAGACTTGACTCCCAGGATCTGAAGCCCAGCATAAGATAATCTTCCAACCCCAGGAGCTAGTGAGAATTAGGAAACGCTAGTCTTGTCTCCAGTCTCAGGACGCCAAGGACCATGTAGCTAGGGTTGGAGAGCCCCCAATCTACAAGTAGCTCCCTCCTTCCCAACTATCCTTGAGACATTCCAGCTGGTTGGATATCAGAGATGTCCAAGAGAAATGGACGATGCTTTAGCACTCCATTACTCAGTGCCCCAGGCCCAGCCCAATGTCCAGAGCCACATGGGGGAAACTGAGGCAGGGTTGGACCCTCCATTTCCAGAGCCCCCATGATGGGTGGCTACAGTGGAGAATCATCCAGTGAGGATCATCCAGTCTTACTCGCAGGATCATCCACCTACAGAGGAGGAAACTGAAGCCAAGAGAAGGCAGAAAGCGTCCAAGACCTCACAGCAAAGCTTTTCTGTGGAACTGGAATAGAAACCAGGGATCCTGACTCCTACCCCAAGGCCTGCAGCATGCTACATGGGGTGATCACATGTACATGGAAAGAGGGTCTGACAGCCCCCTTCCAGGACACAGCTGTTCCTGCTTAGAGCCTGAGGCCAGTGTGCTAAGCCTTGCCTCCAAAATGATGCCCCTCTTTGTGGCCCAGCAGCTGCCTGACTCTGAGGAAGCAGATGGGGCTCCTGGTCTTGGGGCTTCTGATGGGCTTGAGACTGCTGCTTCCAGAGAACTTTCCAGAAACACACTGACCCATCCATTTTGCCAAAGGCTCTAGAGTGGGGGGAATCTCAGTGGGGACTGGGGTTTGGATGGCAGAGTCTAGGCTGTGTCAGTGCTAATTTTGGGGGGTAAAAGGGAAGATGATCTAATTTTGTGAAACAAAAGATTTTATTGTTATTTTTGGTAAAATAAAGGAGGTGGACTGGAGTGACACTGCTGGGAAGCTGTGGTCTGGGTGCCACCCAGCTCTGGGCAGACCATGGAAGCAACTGGGCCAGAATTGGACAGGGAGGGCTTTCTGTCCTGAGATCCTAAACCATATGGAAGCTAGCTGGTGTGTCTGGCCCACCTCCACAGGGTAGAGACACCAAGGTTTTCCCAAGGGTCTGGAAATTCTGGGCCAAGCTGGGCTAGGACCCATGGTTGGGCTTGTGGAAACTCACTCTCTTAGAGGAATCTTTCCTTGTTTTCAGCTCACGGTCACCTGGCACTTTCTCACCCCATCTCCTTAATATGGATGGTTTATGGGGGCTAGTGGTTTAAGAGACAGGGCTGAAGTACAGTTCTAATGGCAACCTCAGCAGAGGAAACCCTGCTTAAGAGAAGGCTCTTTGTTGGGTACTGCTTAGAGTTCAAATAGGGGTGTCAGGATATAGGGGTGACCCTAGAGCTTATTCCCCAGTAAATATCTGAGTCTCTTAGCTTAGCTCTTGTTGCTGTCCCACTGCCCTATCCTACAAGCTGCCCAGACAGAAGTTGAAAAATGACTTGGTTGTCAAGAGCCAGCAAGGTCAACCTAAGGGTTCTCCTCTCTACTTAAGGAGGAGACAGCCCGGCTTTGTGCAGTGATCCCCTGGGAAGCAGAGGCCAGGGTTCCCGGTACAGCCCAAGGTACCGTAGCAAGTTCCTTTCTTCTCCTTTCCTTTCCTCAGTTTCCCCTATCTAGTTCTGACAGGTGTAAGGCGAAGGAACTGATTTAAGCCCCTTCATTACTTGAAGTCTGTGGATCATTAACAATAATAATAGTTAATACTCACTATGTGTCAAGTATAATTCTAAATGCTCAACAGAAAATGGCTTACTGAGTTAAGTTGGGCCTTGACTAGCTGCCTGTCCGTGGTACCCAGTACCCCCTCTTTCACTGCTCTAGGGCCTGAAAGGCCCTGCACTCTGCCATCCCTTGTTCTGGCTCACCAGAGATGCCCCAGTCCAGCAGTCTAAAAAGCAACTATTTACATACTTCCTGTGACAGGTCACTCACTGCCGCTTCAATCACTGGGCAGCTCCAACTCTCAGAAAGTTCAGGCTTTAGATTCACAGTTGTTTTCAAATATACCTGGTAGCTTTCTCAGAACTGGGAAAGCTGCACCTGACATGGGGATATCTGAATACATCAAGAAGCCATCACAGAACTCTGCTGAGAAGTTCAGAGAGGGATGCTTAGAAGAGGGTAGAGATAGAGGAAAAGGAGAAGACAGGAAAAAGAGCTGGGGCTCAGCAGCACAGAATAAAGAACTCCCATGTGGGAAAAAGGCAGGGAGGCTGCTGGGAGAGAGAATGTATTGTGGGTAAAAGAACAGACTATAGAAGACTTTGTTTTCCTGTTGGCTCAAAATCCATAAAAAAAAAAAAATTTATGGGGCCAGAGCATCCACCTGTTGAGCAAAGGATGCCCAACAGGCTTGGCCTCAGGAACATGCAGCTTCTTTGAGGTGTCCTGCTGTCACTACCACTACCCCACCCCTGGGAGCTGTGCGGTTTGTTAAAGGGAGTCACAAGCGTGGCTGAAGCTTCGCCTGATTTGGAAGATCCTCTCAGAGCCCTGGGCTCAGAGGTTAATGGAACTTGGGAGCCCTGTGGAGGACATAGCAACTTTGAAACCCGAGATTGGAGTAGGCATATATGACTGAGGACCAGCGGCTATTGAGACATTCAGGAAACTGGCTAATATGGTCTTAAGGACATGACACTTGGGTGGGCCTGGAAGTGATGGGTGGGAAAAGTTAGGGTGCATAGCGTCCTTAGGTTGGACAGAGGGACTCTGGAACTGACTGAACAGAGATGCTTGGGAGAAGGCCTCCTTCTCCCATCTTCACAAGACTGGGAAATCTAGCAAAGCCCTGAATGTTCCCTAAAGTTCCGGACCTCCTTCCATTGCACCGATGAGAAGGCTGAGCCCAAGAGGAAAGGGCACAAACTTTTGTCAGGTGGATAATGGGAAGGACATCCAAGAGACTCTCTAACTAGCTCAGCTCACCAGGCTCCCACACAATCCTGAGACAGGCAGGGAAGGATGTTTACTTCCATTTCACCAAGGAGGAAACACTTGGCAGGAGATCCTGAAATAAACCCGACTCAACATTCACATTACTTCATCACACTTGCAGCCTAGAGGCGTGGCAAGTGTTGGCTGAGGCATCAATTTATTTGCATCTTTTAAATCGAAGAAATGAACTTACAGGTTTTTTAAAGGTAATGTTTTCCTCGAGGAGTAAAATTACAGACATCCACACCTTTTGAGAAATTTTATAGAATTAGCTCTCGTTTCAGAAAAGACTAGCAGAAGCCCACCTAGGTAAAAGGAACTTGAAAAATTCCTTCCTGGCTTGCAGAAGCTCTCGATAAAAGTTAATTACACCAGTGGCTGCCTGGCCTCGTCCCTCCCGGCGCTTTCCCAACTTCCCCACCTTCGCCCCGAAAACACAGCGTCCAAAAGAACCAAACCCCGTCCCAGCCCCACCCATCTCCCCACCCCCTCAATACCACGCCTGCGCAGTAGCGCGACCTCGCCGCGAGTAGCCTCTAAGGCGCAGGCGCAGCTCCGCCCTCCCACGCCCCTCTCCGGTCGGGCCCACCCCTCGGGTCTAGCACCGCCTCTTCCGCGATCTCGGCGGCGAGATCTGCCCGTGGGGGTGCGCGCGACCGGTGCCGCCGAGCGTCAGCCGAGGTAAAGGCGGGCCAGCGAGGTATCCCTCCGAGCAAAACGGGACCGGGGGGGTCTGTGGGCGAGTCTCGACGGGGCTGTCAGGGCCGCCAGAGCCGCTAAGGTCACGACCCGCTTCTGTTGCCCAGGGAACAGCCGAAGGACGCTTCTTGAGGGCTGTCTTCGCCACTCCGTGTGACGAGCTCGGGCTGGGGTTGTGACAGGTGTCCGAGGTTGGAGCTGAGTGTGGGGCCAGTTTGAAACTCAGTCCCAATCAGGCTGTCTGCCTGGCCTCAAGGCTCCGGCAGTTCAAAGCATGAATAATTTTTCCTGAGAGGAATTTATAGCATGTGTGTGCTACCTAATTTTAAAGTTATCCGTTTTCATTTAAAACCTCCTGACATGTGGGCGTCTCTGTAAGGGGGGGATCGCAGTGTCAGGTGCAGTCTCTTCTGAAGGAGTCTGCAGGCTACCTCTCTGAAAGTAACAGATCAAAGGCCAGCGTGGGCGACAGGTATGAAGTATTGAAGCTCTTGGGGTCAGGCACTCCTGGCTTTAGATCTCACCTCTCCTAGGTGTGTGTTCTGGGGCAAGTCATTTCCCCGCGCAGAGATTTAAGAAAGGAAAAGGGCATAGTAGGTCATCGTGGAGGTTGAGTAAGAGTACCTGTGTCACCTAGTGTAGCATCTGTCATGAAAGGAGTGCTGAGTACATGGTAGCTATGACTTCTAGGAACCAAGTCACTTTGGAGTGAGGTACTTTAGAGAGGCCCTAGGGGAAAGGTGAGGCGACCTAGTTCTTGCAGCTTCAGTGGGATTGATAGTGCTGACCTTGCAGGGTGCAAAAGGAAGAAATGCTCATTGACACCTGCCATGTGCTAACCCCATGTTGGCAGTTGACATAGGTTAATTCAGCCAGATACTTTCAGCCCTACTGCTGTTTTCTTCAGCTCTAAAGAGAACTAGGCTGGAAATGATGTAAGGAGGAAACCCAGGATTTGGGTTTTGTATATGAACTGGGCCAGCTGGAGATTTTGGTTTCCCCTCCTTCAATCTCCCTCTTCAGCTCTTCCCTTTCTGTAATCTAAAGGGTTAACTGAGTTCTTGACTTGGTCTGGGAGGCCTGTTACTCTAGTGCTCCAGCAGATTCTGATGGTTAGAGTACCTGGCATGTGAGAACCCTTAAACGCAGATTGCATATGACTGAACAGCGGGAGAGAGCAGCTCTGTCCAGTGTGTGCTTAGGAAGTACATGCGGGCCGCCCGTTTAGTGGTTCCACGGTCATCTAGTGACTTGGCTTCCTTTGAATCCTGCCCATGGGTGCCCATGTGGTCTTGCTGAGACGGTGGTGGGCTTCATTGCCGACTGTGAAGAGTTGGGCTCTCAGCCTGATACAGGTGCCTCCATAATCTGTTCCCAAACCTCTGTCCTGCGCTGTTTCCCTTTGTTCTCCCAAACTTGTGCCCTGTGCCCCAGTCAAAATTAACTAGTTTTTGTTTTTCACGCACTCCTTACATGTTTCTTTGTTTGTATTCCCTCTTCCTGGAGTTCCTGCTTTCTCACCTTTCAGGAGCCATGTCTCAGTTGGCCTTGTTGTCTTCAAAGCTACTCTGACTCTCCTGCTGGATTAGTTGTTCCAATTTCCATCTTCTATAGCAAAGACTATAACTGATCACTGTCTGCCGTGGGGATGTCATCCCATACATGCTGATAACATTGGTGACAGGGGCCCAAGTCTTTCTCCTCCCTCCTCTGTCTGGCACATAATAGTCCTCTGCAGTGTTTATAGTTGAATGAGTCAGTGACATCTTTTATTTACTTGCTTTGGTTTTGTTTTATGAGCTTTCAGGTTTAGAGTGGGCTTTGAATGTTTTCTTCTCCTTATACCTAAGGATAACCCCATTTTAGATTGGTGATGACCTAATTATAAGAATAAAAGGCAAAAAAAAATGTAGGAGTGCTTGCAATGCAAGATTCTTATTGCTGCGCCTGTTCTAAGGCTCTCGTCATGGTTTGCTTAGTTTTCCTGAAAGGAAGGTGGGGACCTGTTTGGGGACCTGCATTGAGTGTGAGCCAGCGCTCGCCAGGGAAAGCTGCCCTTGGCCTTGGCCACCCCACCTGGGGCTGGGATTCCCATCTGGGGTCCAGCAGCTACCAACTCACATTTTCCCTTGCTGACAGCACAGGATTAGAGGGCTCTTTGTTGATCATAGATAGATACATCATTCAAGGTAGAAGGCACTTGGGAGCCCTCTGGCTCTATCTCTTTA